ATATATATATATATATATATATATATATATATATACACACACACATACATATATGTGTGTGTGTGTTAGCTTTTTGTTTTTTTAATTATTATTCGGGATGATGTGGTAATAAATAAAATTGTCAAAAATAACAGTAATTGTCAAAAAATTACTAATACAAAAAGTATTAGTAATTGTAACATTATAACTTTTAAAGTTTTATGAAAGCAACTATACAATATAGAGCTCGTACAAGTCATGTACCTGATTTTGTTAATTTTGATCTCCAGCCACTGCAAAATATTTTTATTTTGAACAAAGACTTTGTGGCTAATCTAAATACAAATGTTTTACTGAAGCTTAAGCTACTTGATGCTGGCCACATGAGTGGTTGAAACATTGTAATAAAGTTAAACAAAAAAATAATAAACAATCCATTCAAAAGCTACATTTCTAGACTTTTATATGAAACATAAGATGTTTTTATTAGTGATTAAGCTAGCTAAAAAATGGCAAATATTTTCACATTTTTGCATTACATCAAAAAACTCATCAAGATAAACATTATTTATAAGTGTAAATTACCCAGCTTACAATAGTTTGAACTTTTAATAAAGCACCTTTTAAAATATTGCACATGACCAATATTATTCTTGACTCCTTTTCAGTTGATCTTCAAGTGAGGTTTATTATGTAAGAGTTAAGAGACTTGCATAATTCCTCTAATCCTTAATAATCATTTTCTTGACTTATTTTGGTTAGTTCATTAAATCTCAGTATCTTCCATTCTAATAGTTTGGAAGAAATAAATAATGTCTAAAATATTAATACATTGTTTGTATTTTAACTAATAAGGGACAAGAGATTTGGAAGTTGAGACATTTCTTTTAAAGCTGAAGAGAATTATTCTATAAGTTATATTAAAGTTGAAGAAGGTTTAGGTTGTAACATGACTTATCCAAATAACCTAAAGTAACTTAGCAAGTAATTAATGGTGGCATGAACTGATTTTTTTTTCAAAAGTTTCTTGGCATTCAGAAAATTAACTGGTTGTTGGTAGACTACCAATGTAATTTTTCCTATTTTTAAAATAAGGAGGTCTGGTGGGATCTTAAAAATTTATATGCCAGTATTTTAGTTTGACTTATTTTGTGAGTAAGATGTATAATCAATAGTAGAAGTTACTTCAAAAAGCATTTGGAATGATGCATTTAATTAAATTTCAAAACAACTTTATAAAGTTTTCTTCCTTTACAAACTTCTTTAAAATTTTTAATAGAGATTCACTTATTTGGATTAGGGTATGCCACTTTGACACAGTATTCCCAAATAACTTAATTTTCTACAAGATGTTAACTGAATTAGTGAAAAAAGTAAATAAATAAAAAAGCCAAACAACTAGCTTAGCTATGATAATTTCATGTTAGGTGGTAGAGAAGCTCACACTTACTAAATTTACAACTACATATTTCATGCTTTATAGAAAAAAAACTTATTATTTACACAATAAAACCAAAAAATTGACATCATACAGTTGTTACACATCTTTAACAAGATATACTTTATAAACATAAGTATAGGCATGGAGAAAGAAGGTTGTTCAATTCAATGACATAACTCTTCCAAGAAAGCTTCTGCTTACTTTGGTTCTAAAAAATAGCAACTGTCTGTATTGTACATGCATCACAAAGTTGTTATAAAATGTAAGTGGCATTAAAAAATGGATTGTTAATTAACATGAGGAAGATCACTCTAATTATAAGTTATTCTCTGTGAAAAGGTATCTAAACAAATGAAAATCACTTGTGCTGTTAGAAAAATCTATATTTATTGCCTCTGGTTTTGTTAGTTTATGAAAATAAATAAACACTGAGGCTTAGTTTTGTCAATGTTGTTAATCATTCTATATATCTAATATAAAACATACAAAAACATAAACCAACTAATATAACAAACAAATTAAAACTTAGCCTGTCACACTCATATGGCTATTCACAATGTTTTAGGGAGTCTCAATAGCTGCATCCTTACAGTTGGATACAAATGCTCACTCATTGACTTATCAACAATCTTTTTTTTTATTATTATTATTACAAAGCTGTTACAATTCTGTTAACTTCTATGCTTTTTGACCAATTCCCAAAATTTTAAATTTAGTCTTTAATGATGAATCTTATTAAAGATTTGGAAGTCAATATAAAATACCTACTGATATGCCTTAGTTCAAAAGCTTTAACATTTAATTAATATGGAACTTAAGTAAAAAAATAAAATGTCTGCTAAAATCCTTGCTGAAAATAATGTATTAAATTTTAATGGCTATTTCTAACAATAAATCAACATTTTGATGACAATATAGGTTATATCAATAGGCCTATAATTTCTTTGACTCTCCCACCTCTCTCCCACTTTCAAAAACAAAGGCATTAGCAAATTTCAAGCCATTAGAAACTTTTTAGCATCATATAACAAAGTGAAAAAAAGGACCTCATTACCTTTATACCTAGTTTCTTTATAATAATTTCTTTTAAAAGGCATGGGAGCTTTAGCCTTAAGAAATTTCCCAAGATTTTACAAAAAAAGGTTTTGTACAACAAAAATATAATTCAAATTGGTTTCCTATGTTTGAAAGCATTACATTTATCATTTTATCAATGACATAATTTTCTAAAATTCTCATTCTCAAGTTATCATTCAAATAGACAAAATAATAAAGATGCAAGTATAATAAATTCATGACACCCAGTCCTCCACTTACTGTAAGTATAATGCTTTATATGACAGGAATATCTAATTATTCTATGAAATTAAGTGAAAAATACTGTAAATTGTAAAGTGTATCTATATATAACCAAATAACTCTGAATATGACTCACAAAATTATTAAAGTACCTTTAGTTGCTGCACTATTCAGTAAATAAGGATGTAATTTGGATGAATTGACTGGCCATATGTTATACTTTATTTATAATTTAAAAATGCATGTGGCTAAATATTAAGTTAACCAGTAAAAACAAACAAAACAAGCATTATGGTTACACTTACAATGAGTATGAATTCTCTTTATTGTATCATAGTTTTTAATTTAGAAATTCCAAAAATCAAAGAAACTAATAAACAACGAATATAACATTAAAAATCAAAAAATATATAAAAGAGAACTTTCTTCATTTGAATGTTTGATGTTTCAATGCATTTCAATACAAAAATACTTAAAAAGAAATTATATTTAACTTAAGAAAGAACTTTACACACCAGCAAAGACACTTTTAATATGCCTTTTAAACTACGCAGGTAATTTCCATTCCAAGTCACCTTTAGAATCAATGAACAATTCTGATTACTTCCATCTTCTCCATTAATAATAAGGGCAGTCGTGGAATCACCTTCGTCGACATCATCATTCCTCAAGTGTGTGAAAACATCTTCATCCAATGTTTCAATCTGCAAAGTGTCATCCACTACATGATGTGTAGATTTGCACTTTTCTCCACCATGTTTCGTACTAAAATGTGTGTCTTCAGTAGAATCTGGTATTTCAATTAAAGTTACTTTAGTTTCTCTGCTGCTTGAACTCGAATGTCGACTACTGACAGTTCTACTTCTAGACCTACCTATTCCACTTGTGTCATTTTCAATAACAACGTCGCTAGTACTAACATAGAAAGAGTCATCGGAAAGCTTTTTGTTTTCCATAATATAAGCTCCATTCAATTTCCAAATTCATGCTTTTGTAGCATGTGAAAATATGTTTATAAGGTGTTAATCAAATACAATCAACTCATACCGGTTTTACACCTGACCTTAATGCTTAATACTATTCATAGACAACCTTTTACGGTATTAGTCTGAACGGCCGTTTAGATTTATCCCTCTGCTGGTAAAACGCAAGGTAGACAAATATCTCTAGTTATGAATTTGTCACAGAGATATAACTATAAAAAAAGGGGGGGGGGGCTCTTATATGTTATGCATAACGTCCAGTATTTTATTTTTGCAAAACGTAAAGATATTTTTTTTTCAGTGAACAGTGCAAATTTCAAAATCCAGTGTTAGGAATACAAAAGCTTTAGATGTCATTTATGAACGCCCTATTCGATAATTAACTACAATCATACAAAAGGGGCAAATAAATAAAGATTTGTTTGTTTTCTTTAAGTTCAAAGCCACTTGTATGAGAAAAGGTTGGCTGAAAATGTAAACATTAACAATAAATGTTTCTTTAAATATGTTAAAGGTAAAAAAAAAAATGTTAGGATGAAGGTAGTACCCTTGAGGGATGATAAAGGAAGGCTAGTTTCTAATGAATACAAGATGGCTGGGTTATTAAATTTTGCTTTTCGTTCGGTTTTTATTAACGAAGATTTAAGCAGTACTCCACATCTTGAACAGTTGATAAATGGAAACGCGATCAAACAAGATGACTGCATTAATTCTGAGGTGGTTAAGAAAAAATTGGGAAGCTTAAAAAACGATAAGGCTCCTGAGCCAGATAATATTTCCCAAAACGTTTTGAAGGAGGTTAAGGATTGGATATGCATGCCACTTGCTACTATTTTTTTATCAGTACTTAAATAGTGTGTAGGTACCAGAGGATTTGAAGTTAGCTATGTAACTCCTCTTTTCTAGGTAGGTGATAAAAA